ACTCCTCTAATGTCTTGGCCTACGCGTCTCGTTCACTCTAGGAGGATTTGTCTTACGAGAAAGTACTAGTTGGTATTGTGGACCGAAAGAGCAGAGTACTCCGCAATCGAAAAATTCTCTTTGTTAAGGTCCTATGGCAGAATCACACATCAGGAGATGCCACATGGGAGCTAGAATCGGGCTTCAAAACCAAATATCCCCGACTGTTTGATTTAGTAAAAGATAGACAAATTTGAGAGACCAAATTTCTTTTAAGGGGAGAGAGTTGTAATGCCCTAATTAATTTTAATTTTAATTAAAATTAATGAATAATTATAATTTTTTTTAAAATTTTCAATTCTTATTTAATGTAAAAATGAAGAAAATTTAACTGATGATGAAATTGAAAATAATTTTGGTAAAAAGAGATGAAAATTTAAATTTTGGGAGTATTTTTGAAAGAAAAATAGAAACTGAATGTCAAAATACAATTTAAGAAAATTGTGTTACGTAGGATGCCTAGTCAGCAGCCCCGATGAACCAGAGCGCGCCACATGGCAAGGAACGCTGACTTGGTACCATGTAGGAGGCCATGCTGGTGATCCGCGTGCTCACGATCAGACGGTCCAGGTTCGTTCATGCGCGCACGGACGGTCCAGATCTGTTCCCTCCCCAGACGTGATCGGACGGTCATATTTAAATGTGATAAACGGTTTAGATCCACTTCCTATTTAAATGCGATAGGACGAGATAGATCAGATCGTGATGAATGACCTATATTCACTCGCTATTTAATCGTGATCGGATGGTTAAGATCAAACTCGCTGGACGGTTCAAATTAAAAGGGGACGGATATAAATAACTCTTTTCACACCAAACATAACCCTAGCTGCAAGAAACCCCCCACCGGAGAAGAAAACCCAATTGCCGGGGAGAAAGTCAGTTGTTGTCGCCACCACGCAGGAGCCACTTCAGACCGCCAAAAGATGTAAAAAAATTTCTCTTTGCTCGAAATTTGATTTTAAATACCCCTATAGCTAAATCAGAGCAAAAGGACCGGCAGATTGATCGAAAACTGAGGGCAAAGCGCGTCGCCGTTGCCACGGGAAAATACAAAAATTGCCTCTGATAAGGCCCTTTCTAATTCCTGTTTTGCGTAATTCTTTCACTATTATAATCATTGTTTCCTTCTCTACAAGTTGACTGAAGCAAAATACCCAACCGCGAAGGTGAGCCGGTGGAGCCGCTGCACCAGAGAACCCCGCCACCGATAAGTTTCGATTTTTTGACGTTTTTCAGTCAACCGATGCCCTTTAACGTATTTTCTCGCAGGGATTAGTATAAAACCGGCTGAATTTGCCTGAAAACGACCAAAAACAACCGACCCGAGGTAAACCGCTGCCGCGAACGGTAATACTGTCTCCGGAGCACGGCCGAGCTACCATACTAGAATTTCAGAATTGACGAAAAAGGGTTCCTAATACTGATTTTGGATTTTTTGGGATATTTTTAGGTACTTGAAGCGCATTTTAAATCTTGAATAAAAATTCAAAGAACCCGGAGACCACTAGTATGTGTAGTCAAAAGTTAGCATTTTGGACATCAGTTTGAGTAAGAATCCCTCACTTTATTTCATGTAAGAAATTGAAGTATGATTTTAAATAATATGGTCTTTTGTGAAACTTAGAACAACATTCATAACTAATTACAGGTTACTAATGGATTCAGAACCGGTTATTTACTATTGTTTACTATGTTTAATCGATTGTCTGAATTTACAGTTTTTAAATGCATGATAATACACTAAAATTGGTATGATGATGTGATTGTATTCCTTTTGATGCATGTTTTGCTTGTTTTAAGTGATTACGGTTGAACTAGAAAACTGGAAATTAAAGGTAAATGAAAAATTATTTGATTAAGTGGATGGATGAAACGATAGCCTTACTGGATATCATGAGAGATGGTGGACGGACTGGGTATATAGAGAACCTTATCGTGAACGTTGTTTCATACCGGATGGGGTATCGAGGTTTGGTAATTTGATGCTCATACCGGACGAGGTATGGGGATGACTCGTTTCATCCCCATACCGGACGAGGTATTGATGGATTGTATTTTTTGGCGCTCACACCGGACGGAGTATGGGGACGACCCGTTAATTGAAAATGTAAAAAAAATAGTTCACGTGTAACGATGACATTCCTACAGATCCCTATGCATACCAGTATAATAATAAAAGGGAAGGTTGTTGTTCCGACTGATCGTATATGAAATTATGATATGTGTTATGTTATTGACTGTATAGGTTTTTTTTGGGTAATTTCGCTAAGGTAAGTATGCGGTAAATAATTTTATTTATAACAAACGAATTTACTTAAATTAAGAGTTCCATTAGTTATTTTTATGATTTATATTATCCTTTATTTATGTGTCAGTGAGTATCGTGATATTGTTACTTTGGATAGTGTAACTCACTCTTTCATCAATCATTTCATATCAAGAGAACCACGACCCAGAGCCCGATCTAGAAAAAGATTGCGAGTAGGACATTCAGTTCGTTTACTTTTAATTTATTTTTTTAGTTATTAGTTGTTCTTTTATAATTGTTATTCTCGTAAGCCTTATTTGGTACTTTCAGTTATTGTGTAAGGAATGTAAACCCTAATTTATTATTTTACTTCCACACTAAATTTATAATTTATCACATTTGGAGTTCGTGGATCGTTACAATATTGTTTAACAAATTTATATAGATTTTTTTTATTACTTACTAAGCTATAAAATAAACACAGTAACCAAGATTCGTAAAGAAAAAAAAAATTATTTTCAAACTTAACTACTATCAGATAACATTTTCATTTATAAAAACACGACTTCCATATAAATATGTAAAACGTACATAAATATGTACAATTACCAATATTAACAGAAAGAGATTAAAAAAAATACAATGGCTTTGCTACGACAATGATGACATGAAAAAGATTTGCTTACAACAAAGAGCTCGAATCTTACATCGTCTCTTATAGTGCTCACATATAATTAACATAAACAATAATTTGACGAGTAAATAGTAAGTGTACGAGAGTAAATATTATGTTTAATATGAACTAAATGAGGATAAATTATCATTAAACCAAACAAAAAAGAAAAAAAAAATCATTACATGAGGGAACAAGAAATATCGAATTGAATGCACTTATTTCTTAACAATAATTTAAGAATATAATAATGTATAACTATTTGATATTATAGTAAGATTGTCAAATCTCTTAACAATCATCTACTTGATTACTAATTAAAATGGTATCTTTTGTAATAAAACAAAACCAAAAGTCATATCTTATTTTTTAAGTTAAAAGGGTATTTTCTTAATTATTCTTAAATAAAATATATATTTCTTATACATAATTTATCAACAAATTAAAATATTATTTTTATTCAAATATTTATTCGATAAAACCTGGTTTTTTCGTTTAATTAATGAAAAATTAATTTCAATATGGAATTACAAATTTAAACTCACCAGAGTTTGAATCAGCATGCGGAGTGGAGTTATTTGCTTATAAACATTTTGTACTGCAAATAAAATTAGCGAAAACAAACGTATCACCCGTGGGTGACTGAAGCCGAGAAAGGCCCAATAGAACGGAGGTCCCCCCACAATAAATTCATTTTGGGATCATAATTTTTGTGGCATATATGTGGGTTCCCCCCCTTATTTAATGCTGATAATGACTATTCAACAATTCATAAAATATATGTTTTTTTATTTATTTATTTATTGAACATTTCAAATAGAATTCATCATTAAAAAATTTGTAAAATTAATTACTAAGATTTGTTTTTATTATAAAATTTATCCAAATTATGAATTATGACGACACTAAAATATATAATATATAAATTAAACTAGTTTTATTTTCTTTTTAAATATTGTAAGTCGGGCTATGACTTACTTGTAATAGTCACATTCTTCATGATGATATACGCATAGAAACTTGAACTCCTTGCCCCTTTTAAATAGACAACGACTCATTGTGAGGTCCAATCCAATCCTTATTATAAAATTGAAAAAATTAATCCAATCTTGGACCCTTCACTATGCCTTTTTGACTAGTCTTCGAACTTTCCAATTTTTTATTTCCAATAATTATTTACTTGAATATTAATATTTTATATATGGTATTTTAAATTATTTCTAATAATTATTTAACTGAATAATTGGTGAGATTATCAAATTTAATTACGTGAGTAATAGAATTACAAGATTTTTAAATATAAATTAAAAAAAACACAGTACGAATTTGAGTACGGTGAATTAGCGAAAATTGTGATAGATTGGATCGTCCTTTCAAGAGATTTCTGAGGAGGGTCCCGCATTGCGTCCTCGTGTACACCTGGCCTGGTGGGGTCTATTTTAATTCGACGACACCGTATTGTCTCCTATAAAGCATGAAATTATTTTTCCGATTTATAATATGTTTTTATTTATTTATTTTTTAAACTAACAAAAATTAAATTGAATTAAATTAATTAATTAATATACTTAATATATCTATTTTTTTATATTAACTATACTGCTTTATTAATATTATTCTTCTGTCCCTAAACCCAACGTGCCCCACGTTCCTCACATTAGATGTGTTCCTTTTGGCTACATGGAAAACATCAAAACTCATCCGGCCCCAGGAAGTGAAAATAAAATTGATTAATTATTTTTCGAAAAGAATATTATTTTATTTTGAGTTAAAATTTTAAACTATTCAACTTCCAAATCGAATCCGACGGCCGTGATTCATTCTCCCGGCAGATCCCCAGTCGTTGAAATCGCATACTTGTTTTACGAAGATCCAAATCACGCAGGTAAAAGGCTTGAAAACACAGCCGTTTCAGCCCAAAAAGGATAACAACCGGGCCCCACTCGATTTTCAAAATGCTGACGTGGCACTCACACCATTTCCAATCTCCCAGCAATATAAAGTAGGCAGTCCCCCCACCCCCACCACCCACTCCCTTGTATGTAGCGAGATAGGAGAGAGAAATTTGTTTGGTTCTGTTAGTTTGCTGGCAGAGGTTTTTTTTCTTTTTTTTCTTTTAGGGTTAGGGTTTTTTCGAGGAGGAGATCTAAGATGAGTAGTGGCGGGGAGAGATTGAGTGGGAAGGTCAAGTGGTTCAATGATCAGAAGGGGTATGGTTTCATTACCCCTGATGATGGCGGAGAAGATCTCTTTGTCCACCAGTCCTCCATCCGCGCCGAGGGTTTCAGGAGCCTTGGCGAGGGCGAACAGGTAGAGTTCGTCATCGAGACCACTGATGGTCGAACCAAGGCCGTAGATGTCTCTGGTCCTGATGGAGGCGCCGTCCAGGGAAGCAGCAACCGCGGAGGCGGCGGAGGCGGCGGAAGGGGAGGACGAGGTGGCGGTGGATACGGTGGGGGCGGATACGGCGGGGGCGGATACGGTGGCGGTGGTGGTTATGGAGGAGGGGGCGGATACGGTGGAAGAGGAGGCAGAGGCGGAGGTGGTTATGGTAGTAGTGGCTATGGAGGAGGCAGCGGAGGCGGCGGAGGCGGTGGTGGTTGTTTCAGGTGTGGTGAGATGGGGCATATGGCGAGGGACTGCTCTCAAGGCGGAGGTGGTTACGGCGGAGGTGGAGGTGGGAGATATGGAGGCGGAGGTGGCGGCGCCGCTGGGAACTGCTACAACTGTGGCGAGGGTGGGCATTTCGCCAGAGACTGTCCAAACAGTAGTCGTTGATCTTCTGAAGGAACCCCAAGAGTAGAGAAAGGTAGGTTTGTCTCTTCAGATCTACGTTGATTCTCTCTTGGGTATACCTTATGTTGGTCTTTTATCGGTTTTATGGCACCTGGTGATCGGTTAATTTAATTTTAGCATGGTTGGGTTTTCGCATTAGGGTTTTTTTATTAGGATCTCGGTTTCCGAAGGATGATCTGGCTGATGGTTCGGTCATCTCTTGAATTTCTTAATTTTAGTCTTTAAAGGTCTGGTCTGCTTGTAATGGGGCTTTTTTTAGGAGCAGTAGAGAGAAATGATGATGGTGATTATATAATTTCTCAACAAATCATGGATGTTTAAACTCTCACTGTTGATTTTAAAGTGTTAATACACATATATAAGAATACAAGCTGGTTTGGTTTTCCCCACTGTCTTCTCTTATCTCTCTTTAACCTGCATTCATATTCTGATTCATCGTTACTCATTTGTTTGCTCAGAATCAGATGCCTGTGAAATTCTTTTAAAAAACCCCATCTGGGTTTGCCATTAAATGACTGTCTTGATGTAAATGATGGAATTGGATGTTAATCGTTGATGGGTTTGTTTTCTTTCTCATAAGGTTTCTCTGATTTGTTGTAATTATCTGTTTAGGGATGGTGTAGGGTCAAGATTTTTGTAGATTGATTATGTGCTTCTTTTTCTTGTGGTGTTTAGAAAGAGTGTAGGGAGTGATTTGTGCATAAACCATGTGAATAATGCAACCCAAAGCTACTACCCAATTATGGAAGCTTGCTGTTTCATAGTGGTTCTTGGTTGGACTACTGGTCAATTTCTGGTTGACCCCTTTTTCTTTTTTCTATTTTGTTTGTATTCGATGATAACCTCTCCTCCACCGAATATGGTTATATATTTTATATATAACCAGTATCTTAAAGGCCTTGCGTGTACTATGCAAAAGAAAATATATAGATGTGGATGTGGATATTGTGAAGAATATTTGTATGGTAACCCAATGGAGTCTGGACATGTTCATATTTTGGCATCATCCAGGGGTTGCAGTTGAATAATCCTGTCGATAATTACGATTGGCTGCCGATTACTGATGTTTCGAACGATTTGTTTATGCCATTAAAAGGTATAATCTGGATACGGATTCTAAATCACTGAGACTAATTGTTTTGAGAAGTAACCATTTTTAGTTAAATTTGAAGTCTTAGAACATTTGATTGATCTCAAATATTATGGATGTCCTAGTTTTTCTTTTGTGGGTTTAAGAGAGTTTCATTTGGGTTTCTCAATTAGCTACTACTTATATTCAAAATATAAGTATCTCTACTCTTAATTTCTTTTCACTAATGGTGAAGTTAGCATTAATTATAAGAATGCATCAGGGTGTGTCTAGTTTGCCACTTGAATTCTCTTAAACATTTAGTAAGAAACAGCCTTTCATAATCTTAGTACCCATTATTTTCTAAACCAAGTAAAAGAAAATGTAATTTTTTATTTATTCACCCTTAGAAGACAAATATTTCTCTTGTACCCAGATCTTCAACCATACATAAACACATCAATAACCCAACCCACTTTGCCTAATCCATAATCTTTAATACCCATTTATGTTATAATTACCCATATATATATATATCCATAGTTGTGCTCTCTTATATTATTTATATTAAGCATGATATTATTTAACAGTTGGTGTAGTTAGAGAAAGGAGAGATCTATGATATCTTCCTAAAAAGGAGAATCATCGTAATTAAAACATATAAAATCTATAAATGCTTCGAAAATAAAATTTAAATACATCACATTGACACAAGAAACCGTGTTTTTTAAAATTATAAAAAGATTAGTTTTGAACAAAATTTCGTAATTTGCTGGAACCTAGAGTCAGAGAGAGATGGTTGGTCTGGTCTGGTCTGCAATAGTCAATCCATATAGATGTTTTATGGCCAAGGCTTTTAAAAAAAATTCTGGTGAGCCCATTTTGAGAAAAATAAATTTGTGTTAGATCCAAGAAACGGGCAAATCACTTACTGGATAATTCCAAGATACTTCATTTTATTTTATCACAACATATAATTTCCAATTTCCAATTTTGAAACAGAACTAAAAAAGAAAAGCAAGAAAAAGTTAATGTCTCTCGCCAAGTCTATATCTCGTTAGCATTGCCTTATTGTCTAACGAATAATGGGTATTATATACATATCTATACATACATATCTATATATCTATATCTATACATGTGTGGGGGAAAGTGAAAAAAGAGCAGCCTTTGTTTTCTTCTTTTTGGAGGTCGCATGCTCTCATGTTTGTGTGCGTATGAACCACCCTTTTCCATTGTATAGTACATTATGAGAGATGCTTAGATTCTCTCATCATATTATATATTTTGCACAGCTCCCCCCCCCCCCTCTCTCTCTCTCTCTCTCTCTGTATGTATGTGTGTGTGTATATATATATATGTAAAGAAGAGGTTAAGCTTTACCAGTATATCAATAATAGTTTCCATTCCCTAGCCAATACGTTATTCATTCCTGTAGTTATTTGGTAGTTTTGTCCATACAGGCTTTTTTCACTCTCTTATATCTTTAATCATGGAAAAAGAAGACATGCTTTTAAAGCTTGAATATATTTTATCTACGTACATATTTATAGATACTTTTTACAGCATTCATGCAGTCTAACTTTTACTTGATGAATGATCATTTTCAAGCGTGATCGGTAATCAACCAAGCTCCTTGATCTTTGTACCTAAGTTGGAGAGTAATGTATTTATATAGAGACCAAAACTCAAACCTATATACATATATATATTACACATATATAACATTGATGTGTCAATTAGGATATAACAGGGTCTGGCAGAGCTTTAAGAGTGGCGCAGGTAGATCTTGAGGGGGGAAAGGAATCCATATATTTCTTATGGTGGGGTATACATGTAATTATGCAGAATTAGCGTTTGATATCCTTAAAACCTAATCGGTGTGGGCTTAATATTCATTAACATGATTAAAAATCAATTAACCCTTAATCCTCAAAAAATCACATGGTAAATTGGTAATTTGCGTTGTGTAACACCCAAATATTAACTCCATTATATAGATTTGAGTGATTAAGCATTTTAACTCCAAAGATTTAAAAAAGAAAAAAAGTACAAATTCTTCTTCTCTGTTTCTCTTTTCAATCTAGTACAACCCTTTTTTCTCTTCCTCTTAAAATGCACAACAACCTCTCTATGCTAAAAACCCTTACTCTGCATCTCCAAACGCGCTTGACTCCACTTCATCCTGGCACTAACAATTGTTGGTGTGTCGGAATCAAAGGCCGCGAGTGTGGTTCCCGAGGTGGTGGAGCGGCGGAGGTGCCGCCGCAACGGTGCCGTTTTGGTGGTGAGTCAACGATGACGGAGGAGGGCATTGGTAGCACTTGGTGAATAATCCAAACGTGTCGATCTGGTGTATGAAGTTTGTCATGCTCGCCCACCCACCGAATCCGAACCCAACGACCAGTACCCACACCACAATGAAGATATTGATCGTGTACGTCCCAACCCATTGACCTACGAATCTTGGTGGCTGCTCAACTGCGTTCTGCACAATCACAACCGTCCATCAGGTCAACAAAATAATATAAGTCAAGTCATCCATCGGTCGGATACGATTAACTAAAAGGGTCCCACGTATTATGAGGTGGCAGCAAATCAAGAAAAGACAGTTTATAGGGTACTCCCCCCAAATAAGGGAGGTATCAGGTACGGACAGATATTCTGCCTCATTGTTGCAGCACGAATCTCGCGCCTTTGGATCTCCTTTTTGGGGAAGCAAAACTGAAAGAACATTAAAACGGTGTAGTATCGGGTGACGAGAAAATTAATTAATTATTTTTTCTTCATCTGCTACACAGCAACCACACGCTACCTCTCTGTTCTCTCTCGCTTAATCTTCGCACATTAATAATGTAACGGACACCAATTAATCACATGTCTGTCAAGCATTTGACTTCAACGAGCTTCAGAACACGCGGCATTCTCTAATTGGGAAGTTTCTCAAGTTTTGTGATTGGATTGGAGAATGCTAGGGTGTAGGGAGTTACCTCGCGGGCGGCGGCTGATTTGAAGGTGAAGATGTGGGCCAGGGCGGGGATGATGTAGACGGTGAAGCTGACGAGGAGAGATCCGACGGTGGAATTGATAGGTCCGAAGAAAGGGAAGATGATGGCGAGGAACCAGATGGGGATGACCACAGGCAATCTAGCTGCTGCTCGCTTGCACAGACTCTTGCATTCGTGCATGCCGATTGCTTTCTCCCACACAAAATACAGGGGCGTGCATGCAAATCCAAATGTTATGAACTGCAAAAAAAATAAAAAATAAAAAATAAATAAATAAATAAATTTTATTTAATTTTGGATTTTACTTAAAAATCTAAAAATAATAATAATAATAATTTTATTGAAGGTAAACGTGGGGGAAATTATAATTACCTGGTGGATGAGCATCAAAATGACAGCCATGTCTCGGAAAGGTGATTTTGGGAGAAGAGAAAAAGCATTGGAGTGGTTTAGAAGCATGTCTCCGAATGCCCAGTAAACGGCTGCGGCAGACGGGAGTGTCAGTGTGAGCACATACACTGTAGCCAACAAGTATATTGCCTTGAACCTCTGTGGCTTCCACATTGCGTGCATTATCTCCCTGCAACATCAATTAATTTTGTCCACCTCTTTAAATTCAATTTTCCTATTTTCTTTTTTAAAAAAAGATTATTACTCAATTAATACAAAATTTAAAACTAAAAAATTAAAATAGAAATTGAAAGCAGAACCATGATTGGGTATTTACTTTCTCACGATAGAAAAAGCAAAATGACCGAAGGATCATTATTGGCTTTCTCTGTTGAAAAGAAAAGTAAGAGGGGGGGGGGTCAAATAAAAAAGCACAGTACCTTTTTGCCTCCCACGCCTACCGAGGGCAATTTCGTAATTCAATACAAAAAACTTTATATAGATTGGTCAGCAGATCTGACGGTCAGATCAGGTTCTGAGGAATTGAAGGTTGCGTCATTTTCAAATTAAAAAAAAAAAAAAAAGGCTGGTTGTAGTTTTAAGTAAAAAAAATAATTAATGAAAAAATTGGGGCAGATTTGTAAATAACGTAAAGGACGTGAAATCTTTGTAAATTCAAAACTTTTGTCTTACACAGTGACAGCATGTCCCCCAAATGTATAGAGAATGTTTGTGGCCCCAGTGAAATATAACACAAGCTTGGTCGGACCTGAGTGCTTGACTCCCTCAACCTGCGTTAGATAAATCCAAATCAAAATCCATAATTGTAATTATAAAATTAATTATTAACTTAATTGATAATTGATTAACAATTCGTGGGCTTTTAAGTAATTTTCATTCTAAGTCTTGACAAGAGATGAGACAACTTGTCTTCGTTTGACCCAATTCAAACCCAGCATCTATTAGACACTGCTCATTTTTCATGTCACATGTGTCCGTCCAGAGTTTGCAATAAAAAAATCTGGGAAAAATAATAATACGAACTGATGAATAATTATGTCAAGAAACTAATTAGAAAAACTATATAAAAAATAGGATTACCTGGCCGTGGAGGAGAGAGGCAATGGTGAGGTACCAAGCAGTGTAAGTAGTCATCAAGAGACCAAGAAAAGACCAGATTCTGTAGTTGTGAAATGAAGGGATAAACACTGTGGTGGCACAACAAGCCCCAAATATGTATGTCCAAGTTCTCTTGTCCAGATTATCATTTATGTAATATATGTTGCTGCATAATCATAGTTAAATTATTATTATCATACGTATATTTTCACCAAATCTGTCAGATTACAACTACGGAAGCTTTATATGCATGTACAGAGAAAAGCAAAGAGCTTCATGCATGTGTACATATGTATACTATATATATATATGTGTGTGTGTGTGGACAGACCTTGCACAAGCTATGAGCTGAATGACAGATCCAAACAGAAGAAAAGTGCAATTAAATGCCAAACCCACGTTCCTCCAATGCTTTCCAAGAAGACCATCAAGAACTTCAAACCACTGAATTTTTAAAAAATAAAAATAAAAAAGACACAGAAAAACATGAAAACCCATGTTAGATTTCTGCCTTAAAGTAAGAGAACTACTGTCATTTTTATGTCAACCTGTTTCTCACTTTGAATTTTCTATTCAATTTCAATGTGTGATTAGCAAGATCTTAATTAAAATTAATTTATTTTAATTACCTGGATAACATGGTTTCTGAAATCTACTTTCTCCCTTTCCTTTCTTGTTCTGTATTCTACATAGAGTATGCTGATCAGATAAGCCGTCCAGCTACCCATTAAGCCATAGAAGAGTTGGAAGATTAACCCCGAAACCATTCCCAGCTGGGAAAATGAATATGGCAGTGTAAGCAACACTTGCGCCACCTGCAACACAAATACAAACATATATAAATGATCAACAAAACACCTCACTAGCTCTCTGTGTGTGTATATATATATATATATATATATATATGAGAAGTGAATAACATAAACCTGATTTGAAGCACAACTGAACCAGGCATCATAAACAGATCCGCCATGCCAGAAAAACTTGGAAACTCTTGACTTAATGTCCCTTGGCTTCCCTTCAGTTTCCATCTCCACGTAGTTTCCAACTATCACTGTCTCCGCCACCTTATCAGTCGCCATTCCCCTCTCTCTCTCTCTTTCTGTTTTTCTTCTTCCGATCACCGACTATATTTATATCTGTTAGATATCAACCTTAACCTGGAGTTGTATTAATGGGTGCCAACTACAATACTGTGAGCTTACTGCTTAGTACAGTTCGTTTTGTCTAGACATGAGGAGGGTTAACGAGAATGAGAATGCGAATGTGAGGAGGGAGATAGATACAAGGTGTATATATATACACAGGGAGAAGTTCTCGATGGATGAGAAAGACTGTGTTTGAAAGGTAGTGTAGAGAGGTGGGTTTTGGGAAGCGAGTAAATCCACTTTTGGGAGCATGAAGCTTTTTGTTCTTTTTCAAAAATAATTTTGGGGTTTTGTTGGGTTGTTTGACGAAATATTTAGAAAGTTGAGCCCTTTTCTGTAATTAAATATTTTATTTTTTGTTCTTTAGCTAATGATTAAAAATTAAATTAGTATTATCACGTTTTGGAGAAGTAATCAACCATTTAGAAAGCGTGATTAAGCTTGTCCGCACGAGCGGCTCTCCCCGCTTCCCGAGCTAATTATAATTTTTACCGCACTAATTAATCCTTTTTATAATTTACCCCCCCATTTTTTACTATTCATCTATTTATTCAATTCTTCATTCTTTTTAGTTAAAATTTACTATAATTTACTTTCCTTTTCATCTTAATTATTTGATTTTTTTTTTTTACTAAATTAAGAATTAAATGGGAAGATTTTGGGAAAATAAAATTGTAGAAAAACAAGGTACATAGGGGAAGAGAAGATGTATACTTATATATATATATATATGTATAGAAGTAAATAATAATAAGGTAGTGAAGGAAATTATAACAAAGTAGACCGCATGATTGCAGGGGAAGGGGCGTGGTCGCTTTATAAGCAGAAGAAAGCTGCTTTTCTCACATGGACTCGATAATCCCTCTCAAGCCCAAACCCCAAAATTCCAATTTCACATGCCTTCCCCCTACATATATATACATATTCCAATTTCACATACCATAATTAGAATTTTAAAAATCTTAAAACCACTTAAAATTAATATAATTTCATATTATAATTAATATTTATTTAATTAAGCTGTATATTAATTGTATTATTAAGGCCACGTTTGCTTTATGAACATTTAAATATAATAGGCAAATGGAGACTTGTTTTGTCACGTGGCCATTGGTGACAAAACATCCTTAATTATTTTATTATGTTTTTGTAAAAATAATTTTATACAAATACCATTTATTTTCTTAATTTTGTATTATTTTCTTTTTGCCAATTTTTTGCAAATATGTTTGTACCGAGATATTCCCTTGCTTAGATTAAAAGTGTTACTTAGCTAAATAATAATTTATATTTAATTTACACGAATTATAATAATTAAATTACAAAGAATAAAATTATAATTTACCCCAAAAAAAAAAAAAATTCCATTTAGATCTTTGTACATTTGCAATATGGAATTACCCTCTTAAGTAATTAATACAATTCAAATTAAATAATCTCTAATAAAAGGCATATATATATATATATATATATAGATATTAAGGGGGACCAGAAACATTCCACTGTAGCCACTGTCTCCTTGACTAATTGCATAATGGAACCCCCTCACACCACGCTCCTCCTTCTTACTAATAATTAATCAAAATTAGAATTAGGAAGACACGAGACAACATCACTTTCCTTTTTTTGATTGCTTCAAATCATTTCTGTCTTCACCCTATTCTTTTTTCTTTTTCACTCTACTTAAACTGCTTCTTCTTCATTCACAGATACACTTAACTTTTTTTTTTTTTACTGTTTTTACTTTTAACTGCTTCTTTAAACAGTAATTTTTTTTTTTTTTATAAAAAAGAAAAAATGGAATAATAATAATTGCTGTGTAAATATTTATTACCAAATGTTGCGAGATAGCACGCGGGAGGAGGTGGTGGAATGTGTACAGTCAGTCAATAATAATTGTAATTATTAAATATCCAAAGGATTGGAAATTGTTCTTTTTTACCACACAAAAAAAAAAAATCATCATACCATACTCATTTAAACACACCCTTTATAAAACACAAAATCCTCGTGCTAATCAAATCCTTAACAGCCTTTTTAATTAAGTTAATTATGATTTTTTGCTCTTAATTATCATCATATATACACAATAATTACCTTCAACAAAACTATTTGAATTTGATTTATACATGTAACATTTCAATACCCACAATGGCTGTGCTCAAATTTCACTATAATTTTATAAATAATAGCCTAAATTGATGTTTACTCAAATGGGTCAAATCTATTTCTCTATAATTCAACCCTCTCTCTCTCTCTCTGCTCTATGTAATGAACAAATTGTTGTGTGGTCCCTTTTGTTTGATGAATGATGATCGGAGAAGATATGAACAAAACCCTTTTTCAAAAAACCTGCATTGACTTGGGATTTCTACAAAAATTACAATTACAACATGGGTCATGCTTATTCATTTTGTTTGTTGATTATCAAGTTTTGGTCAACTCCAAATTAACTTTAAAGCTATGGAGTGTGTGTGTGTGTGTGTGTAAGTATATATACACACTTACATTTATATTTTTGGAGCCATGTATATTCAAGAAACACCAATGATGGTGGGATTCTCTTTTTCATGACCTCCATTTTTTTTTATCTCTTTATGGCCTCCATTTTTGGAAGCATTATGTTTAGGGCCAAAGAATCCTATATTCAAAAAGAAGATGTTTTGTTTCTTGTTTCAATTAATATTCTCTTTTTATTATTATTATTTTTCTTTTTTGCCTTTGTTTTATACAACCAAAGCTGCCAAATTTCACCTCAATGTCCAAGAATATTAAACCAATTTGTCTTGTGGGTAAATTTTCTTGCCTTTTTAACTGTTTCATTTCTTCTGTTACTTGATTTTTACCCCATTTAGCCTTGTAAATTACTATAGAATATTTTGTGTTAAAATTCTTTATTTTTTTACTTTTTTTATAGTGAAGGTATTATTTTAGGATATTATATTTTTTGTCACATTACTGTTTAATACACGTTTACACGGAATAATAACTACTATTTAAATTAAACATTTTATACTAACGTTTACGATATTTTAATGACGTTGCAGTGATTAAATTGATTTTAAGCCCTAATAAATTTTATTATATTTCTGAATAAATTTAAATATTTTATAATGAATAAATTTTATTAGTTCGGATAGTTATAAAAAAAAAATTTAACACAAATTCGAAAAAAATGCAATTCAACACAAAATTATATAAATTTTAGCCATTAACTTGGAAAACAATTGTAAGAGAAGCAAATTAGAAAGGATAAATGAATGTGTCGAAGACTTTCGAACCTTAATAAAGTTTAAATGAAGAGTTGAAAAACACATTGATGCAAATGTTGCAAAAACCCAACTTCAAAATTTCATGCTCTACACAATCATTTATAACTATTATTTTTGTTTACCAATAATCATGGTAACATAAAAAGTGCTCATGTTATAGACATTATCATCCATCAACTCATTGCAATTACGACTTTTTAAATATTAAAAAACATATTTTTATAATATTTATTAATTAAATTTTAAGAATCGATTCCCCTATTAAATAACTATAATGTTATTATATTAAAATTAATTTAATTAAAAATGTTTTATTTTTCAATTAATATGTTATCATAAGAAAATTTGATGATTTTTTTTTTTTTTTTTTTTTGAATTGTCATATATTAATTTCAATGTGTCCGGTCCAAGTACTCACAAAGGCACAACGAGCCCAAGAATTTAACGGTCCGATTCGCTAGGCCCAGATTGAAAATACTCGCGGGGGATTGACTGCCTAGACATGTCAAACATACCAACGGATGAGATCATCTTATCAAAATCTCTTTCGATGAGGTGGCAGCACATGATTGAAGAACACCCGCAGAAACAATATTTATAACGGCACTCGCGCGCGACATGCGGGTCACTGGGGCTCCGGTGAAGGGAAATTGGGTAATTTCTTAATTTCATCTTCTGTTCCGGCCATTTACTTGTTTAGATTTAAGTTTTAGTCCTGCTTGGTTGCTGAGAAACTGAGAGAAAATGAAGTGAATTTGAGTGTTTCCGTTACCTAGTCAGCCCCAATAGGAAGCATTTACTTTTTGAAGCTGATCGCTGGGTAAACTCTAGTAATCATATTATTACGAACCCTTTCCTTTTCTTTTGGTTTGGTGTTCTCGGATTTCCTCAGTTTTCAAAACCAGTAAGTTGTCTGGGAACTTTCAATATGAAAGTTTAGCATCTGTTTCGGGTTTGGTTGATTGGTTGTGCGATTATGTTTATTGAGAAACTCATGTTTGATCTTGGATTTGGTCAATGGAATAGCTGACTTGAGTTTGGATTATTGTGATTAAGAGTAACAAAAGATGAAATTTGAGTTTTGGTGCCAGATTAGAACTCAGAAGCCTACATATATATTATATATTCATGTATGCAGTAGATAGTATGTAGGCAATTACGTGAATCTGTATGTGCGCCTGTGTATGTATATGCATATAATAGACTACCCGGGAGATGTTTTGGTTACAGGTCAAGTATATATAGATGGTAGATATGGAAATGGGATTGGTACAATTTGGAGGAGTCGTGGCTTTATGTTAATGGTCGTTTAGTAACTTGTAAGCAATAATCTACCTTGTTTATGCGCATTAGATAGATATAAGTTAGTTGTTCTGTAACTTCTGTTCCATGAAGAAGTGTAATCTCTGTGCTTTAAAATGTGCTTAGTAATACTGCATCCCTTGATGTTCTAGTCTAAATGTCCTTTGAAGTATGACATATCCTTCATCCTTTAAATGACTAAGGAGAGAATGCTTAAGAAATGAGAATTTGCATCTATTTCGTTAAGTTAAGATGCTAGTTTCCGATATAGTATTTAAGGTAATAATAACGGACCGGGGTCATAAACAATTTGTTTGTTCATAGAAGTTGCCTTCTTGGTTATTTTCGTCTGAGAGAATTTTCTAAGTTATATGTGTTTGCACTAGTTGTGTGATATTACATGTTTTTATAAAAAAATCGTTGTAAATGTTACTTTGTTGTTTTGTTTTATGTTTACTAGTAGACAAGGATTTTTGCAGAGTCAAATTTAGCCAATGTGGTTTTAGCTTTGTCGATCATTTTTCATGTTATGTTTGAGGATATATGACTCCTTCAACTTGATTGTCAGACAAGATAATTCTCTAAAGATATTATGAATTTTTTTGTTTCTGTAATAATTTTCAGATATTGTTTATTGATCAAAGAAAGAAATCTTAATTTCTTAGTTACTCCTTCCCTCTTAACTCTAGGTAATTGAGAGAATCATGATGTCCGCTGCACAAGATGGAATCCTAGGCCGACCTAAGGCTGAATGGACACCATCTCGTGATGCTTTCCTTGTTGGGATTTTCATCGAACAGCAAAATCGTGGGAGGACTGCCTACAATGAATTCAAAAGTGAAGTTATTAGATCTGCTACCCGCGATTTTAATAAGAAATTTAGCATGAATTTAGAAGAGAATCAGATTAAGAACCGCTACAATGTAATGAAGAAAGACTACGGTGTTGTTAAAACTCTACTTAGTAATCCTGATTTTTGTTGGGATGAAACAAGACAAATGGTGGTGGCTGATGATAAAGTTTGGGATAGCTATATTGCAGTAAGTACTTATAATACCTTCCCAATTCCTTTATGCAAACACATGAAGAATCTTACCAACTATATCTGTTATAGGTGCGAACTGAGGCAAGGCCTTTCCGGCGTAAGAGCTTCCCTCTTTATAAACAATTGTCTATAATATTTGAAGGTAAGTTTTCTTATAGCCTTCAATATTAGTCTTTAACTCTAGTGGGAATTAGTAATATCGTATTCACAGTACTCCAAATGTAGGAGAAAGAGTTACTGGAAAATGCCAATTTCCCAGTGGAATTCCTGAAGAGGGAAATAGCAATACGGAAACTGTGAGATCTTCAGATCCAACAAACTTACCTGCGCATTTAGTTGATGCTACTCCTGATTCTGATTCAATAGTCCGCGTAAACGAAACTCAACCAAAGAAGCGCAAATCTTGTGCACCAATGACACAAGGTGGCCGAAGGCAAAGAGCATGCTATGATGTTGGAGGGACAATTGAGAATGCCTTGTATGAAATGTTTTCCACAGCTCGATTGGAAGCTTTACAAAGAACTAATGCATCAGGTGACATAATATTCTATGGGAAGTGCCTGGAGGAGTTGCAAAAATTGGAAGAATTAGATGATGGTGAATTTATCAAAGCTGTTAATGTTCTGAAAGATGATAAGAATGCAGTTGCTTTCATGAAAATTAAAGGGCCTCGTCGTCTTGTTTGGTTGAGATCTCTATGTCAATGTTAGTTCTTAAATCTTATAATGAGTTTTAGGAAGGTCCTCCAAATTTCACAATCAATCCTTTTTTTTTTTTGTGGTAATCATACCGATTTTCAGCTCTCATCCAACGACGAAATTTTATGATTTGAGTTATAACTACTACTATTCCTCATGCCGAGAAAATACAAAATACTACAGTGCAAATTCAAATTCTTGACCTTGCTGTGCTAAGAGTGAATTCTTTTATTATTTGGGATCTCACTGCGGTTTACCTCGATAGCAATCTGTTTGTGTTGTATACTCAAAGAGAATTTTTCCTATCACTAGCATTTTCTCTAAGTTGTCGTCCCAAGAGTTTAGAATTTTGAAATGAATGTGTGAATTTATTTATTTATTTTTTGGAAGAGAATTTTTCACCATTTATTTATGTATATGGTGTACATATAGATGTTCTTTCTATACATGAAATTTTTTTAAAGTTATAAAAGATTAGATGGAATATAAAAGAATGAATTTACTTTAAAAAAGAAAACCACATGAACTCTTTGTTGTTTTCATTTCTATTTTAATTTTCTTTTTTTCCAAATGGCATGAAAGTAGAGAATAAGTATTCAAGATTGTTAATCTGGAGCCACAAAGTAAAATGACCAAACTATAAACAACTGTCCCTACCATTTAACCAATAATTAGTACTGATGTGTATATCTATCTATATACTTGTATGTATATATACATATATATATATGTAAATTATTAGATGTAATATAAAATAATCATCCTTTTCAAATTATTATTTGAATAATGCAATCTTAAATTGCTAAAAATAGAATAAAACAAAATTCTTTTAATTTTCGAAGCTCATATATACTTAAGTACCCATTTGTTTATTTTTAAAAGGATGCATTAATCAATTTAAAAAGTAAAAAATAAAATAATTTTAAACATAAACATTTTTATATTAACAAAAAAAAAAACTTGAAAATAATTTTCTTAGTAAGAAAAACTTATTTTATATTCTAAAAATAAAGAAATAATAATAATAAAAAGAAAAAGATTTAGAGCAAAAAAGCCAAAATCATGTCCTCTCCACAAAAACAGCACACTGGACTAATAACCGCGAAACACGAGCAAGAGATTACACTCACTCTCACTCCCCCTTCCACTATTATACACGCGCGCTCACTCAACCCTACTCTTCTCTCCCAAGGAAAGTAAAGTTCTTTGCGACCCCAAAACGCAATCTTCATCAATCTGAATCATTAATCCTTCTTATTCTCTCTCTCTCTCTGTACTTCAATTAATGATCGTCAGTCAATAATGGCTCGTCTCCTTCTCTCTGCCACCTTCCTATCTCTCCTTTCTCTCTCTTCACTCTCAGGTAAATTATCTTCATTCTTCTCCATCGTACTTAACTTCATCCTATCTTTAATTTTCTCGATTACCGTTAACCCATCTATTCTTTATCTCCGCACAGAAGTTGCGCCGGTTTCTTTCAAGCTCATCAACAGGTGTCGCCAGACTATTTGGCCCGGTTTTCTTTCCGGAGCCAACTCCGACCAATTCCCCACAACCGGCTTCACTCTCCAACCCGGTAAGTCTCGGACCGTCACGATACCCAAGTCCTGGTCGGGTCGGCTCTGGGCGCGGACTGCCTGCTATCGAGATCGCAATTCGGGGAGATTCACTTGCGTGACGGCAGATTGTGGGTCCGGGAGCGTGGAATGCGAAGGCGCCGGCGCGAAGCCTCCTGCCACGCTGGCGGAGTTCACTCTAAACGGCGCCGGAGGACTAGACTTCTATGACGTCAGCTTGGTAGACGGGTACAACCTGCCGATGCTGGTTTTGCCAAAGAAAAGTACAACCGGTGGATGCGGCGCGACGGGGTGTCTCGTGGACTTGAACGGCGCGTGCCCCGCGGAGCTGAAGGTCGTTAGTGGAAATCACTCCAGGAGCGTGGCGTGCAGGAGCGCGTGTGAGGCGTTCGGAGACCCAAGATACTGCTGCAGCGAGGCGTACGCCACGCCCGACACGTGTCCGCCGTCTCCTTACTCGCTGTTCTTCAAACACGCGTGCCCCCGCGCTTATAGCTACGCGTACGACGATAAAACGAGCACGTACACGTGCGCCACCGGAGCCGACTATGTTATTATATTTTGTCCCCCTCCTTATACGAGGTAAAATTACTTGGCTAAGTTTACCTATCGTTTCTTATTTATCCTTCATGCGGCGTCGTATTACGAGTTCAGGAGGGTAGCGTGGTAAATTTAGATATTAAATAATTGGCTAGGGTTAAAAGGAGAGGATAGTTCTGCTCTCCATGTTTTGAAGGAGAAGTTTGTAGTGGACCATTTGTTGGGAGGTAGAAGGGGAATGCTGAGTAGAGAGCGACATGCTGACAAACACGGTGTATTTTACTAAGAAACTGAATGTGGGTAATAAAAACAAAAATAGTTAATGAATTTCATATCTGAAATAAAAATAGAAAAAGAAATTAAAATAGTAGAGAATAAGAGTTAATTCCCTACTGACTCTTATTGAGGCATCAGAGTTAATTTTGTATGTACTTTATGGAGGTGGCTGCCATATCAAGTTGTTGGGTCCCTGCTCATTGTTGAGGAATAAGTAAGACGCCATTTCTATTTCCATGCTTGACCCCGTTTCCTTGAACCATCGTTGAAGTTTTTGGGTTGAAGCAAGAGGGTTCATCCAGTTTTTGGTGATAATATATCAATTGATTTCTAGTTTTCTACTCCACTATATGTCTCATAAGATCAGCATAAACGGAGATCTTTTGTCCTGATGAACTTGTGGACTTCTGAAATCTATTTACTAGCTAAAAATTAAATCTTGATATCTCCCTGCTCTGTCCCCATACAGGACCGATCCTCTATACCTTTGTTGCATCCTGGCATTCTTTAAAGACATGACTCACTGACTCCGCCTCACCACGAAATTGATACCGAGTGTCAAGTTGTATTCCTTTTTGGGTTAGGCGTTTCCAAACCAGTAGTATATTCTGGCATACTCTCCAGGCCATATGTAAATACTTAAAGAGTGATCTTTTAGTTTTCTTCTTCAGAATTTTTTCTTTGTGTTAAATAGTTGACACTGCCTGATTGCATATGTTTTGCCGCCTTTCTATCTTTGATTCCTTGGTTTTCTCTAATCTGAAGACATAATAAAAAAGGTACCTTCTTAATTCTGAGTTCTTAACTTTAGAGAGGCAGATTGAGAACCGAAATGAACTCAAGCGAACTACCAGCTTAAACTAGTTCAAAACATTTGGTGGGTTGAGCAATGCTGGTAACTAATCGTGGGTAACTTTTAGTAGTTTCCCAAACTTAAGTTCCTGAAGTGGATGAACTGAAATTGTTAAGAGTTATGGTAAATAAGGCATTAAGTTATTTTGTATGTAAATGTGCAGCCAGAAGTTATTAGGATCAAGAAAAGATGGAGCATTGCTTCCTCTTGTGAATATGAGTACGATACACCTATCAAGCCGCCATGCCAATGAAGCTTCAGTTTCAGGTCTGCTCCAATTACAACTTATAGCATCTTTTCTTACCACAATTTGGCTCTTCCACCCACCTGAATTACCTTTATGACTCACTAACATTTCCCAGCCAGGAATATAGTACTGTGAAGATCAAGCTCAGAGTTTGCTCTCTTGGTCGTCGTCCTCCTTGACGCTGTTTCCAGCTCTCTCTTTCTATTTCTAGCGACATTTACACGAATCCAGCTGTTAAAAGTTGCGGATTGGCTAAATCTGTGTGTAATATTGTTGAATACCACATGTAATTTTGTACATTCCTTCCTTCTTCTACTTGTGTATACTTAGTTTTGTTTCATCATCATATTGAATTCTTTTTCAAGCATTCAATATAAATGTATTGGCAGTCACTGTTTACCATGGCACCTTTATAGTAATTTTTCATATAACAAATAAACTTCTCTTCCCTTGATAATTACTTGTATGTCTTGGTAACACATAAGAATGGACCAATTCAATTTCATTTTTCTCTCTCATTATTAAATATACTCTTTTTAAAAGGAAAAAAAAAAAAAAAGAGAGATTATATTAACAGAGAGAACATCGAGTACAGAAGAAGAAAGCAAAATAAAATGGGCTGGGCTTAGCATTTGAGTTCGCCTATTGAAATGCAGCCCATTTAGTAAAATTAGGTATTTTATTGAAAGTCTTTTTGTTTTTATATAATTTTTGTTGAAATAAGATAATATTAACATTATTTTTATTTTTATATAGTTACAATTTTAAATTTTAAATTTTGGGAAACTTCAAACCCATTTCTGAAACACATTGTGAAATTTAAACTTGGCATTTCTAAATTGGGCTGTATTTTGTTTGTTCACCTGAAATTTAAACTAATTTGTTTTTTTTTTCTGTTTTTATAATGATACATTTCAAGTTATTCAAATACTTAATTCTTTTACGAAAAATATAAAGAGGTATACAACTTGACCAATGGTAAAGTGTAGTTATCACATATCATATTCTGTTTTATATAGTAATGATCGGAGCATATTTACTTAAATCACATATACTCGAGTTAAGTAAAATAACTTAATTTTATTAATCATAATAAAGTCGCTGAAGCATTTCGTATCTTAAATGTAAAACATAAACATATGTACCATGCTCTAAATTTTTTTACTTACATTACTAAACAAAAGTATGAAATAAAAACCTTAATCTCAAAGTCTATCTTAAAAAAATTCCTCTATATCACCACTCACTTTGCAGCGGTATTTACAGTACCTGAATGATAATAGGATGTGAGATAAAATATTTCAATAACCGATATTATGAAATCATAGTATAGTAATAACTGGAGCATATTTACTTAAATTACATATACTCGAGTTAAGTAAAATAACTTAATTTTATTAATCATAATAAAGTCCCTTAAGCATTTCGTATCTTAAATGTAAAACATAAACATATGTACGAGGCTCTAAATTTTTTTACTTACATTACTAAACAAAAGTATGAAATAAAAACTTTAATCTCAGAGTCTATCTTAAAAAAATTCCTCTACATCACTACTCACTTTGCAGCGGTATCTACAGTACCTATAGGGTGATAGGGGGACAGATAAAATATTTCAATAAGCGATATTATGAAATTACAGTATAGTAGATACAATATATAGTTTATTTACACACAACAAAATACATATCATATAATCTTTACAAAACATATACGAATTAGAATATGAATACACAAATCAGAAAATAGATTCACAATTACTTCTTTGTATACTTTATCACTATTATGGATAATCAATCAACTACCATACATTATGTGCAGACATATATTTATTACTGGTTTCTCATGTTTCTGAATACGAAATGACATACATGAGTACTTTGAAACACTGCTACCTCCCAAACACGAAACAGTTAGAATAAGCAGATTAGATTGTTTTCCTATATACCCGAATACGAAACAGTTATGTATGGGTACACACTTATCATTTTGCCTATACATCCTAACACAGAACGGTATGTATAATTATATTGAAGCATAACACAATGCAGGTACTTGTAGAACAACTCATATTCATAATGAGTTAAGCACGCATATTAAAATCATATTTCAGAAACATGAAATGAAATAACACTTTTATCGAAATAAAACTTTAATTAATACTTACTTAGCGAATACGAAAGACAAATTAAATAATTGCACATTTTATACTAAAAATACGTAAAGTATTTCAAAACTACATAGGTTATGAATCCATAACATCTACTTACTTTAATTCCTTAGCAGTCATAATCTTAATTCCGACATAGTTTCAGCTTTATTTATAATCTTTTCCTCTCAAAAAATTAGTTGAGTTTTGGGATGACTTTTAGTCACTTTCTTGACTCAAAAAGATTCAACACAATATTCAAAAACTAATCCTGCAAATTAAAGAGAAATTAAACTTTAAGATTTAAGAAAAAACTTATCTTTCTAATAGCCTATAACCTCTTTTTGATTGTGAGCCTTTTTTCTCTTCTTTTTCTCTTCTTATGCTCTCATAAATTTAACAGAGTTTCTCTAATATTTTTATCTAAAATTTCAAAATAACTCAAAAATCACACACTTCGTATGCCTTCTTTCTCTTCCTTCTTTGTACCTCTATACTTCTCATTATTTTTTTATCATTTGGAATATCTCTTCCTCCCTTCTCTCATCCTCTTTTTATATGAGTAGAGGGTCCTGAGAGAAAGGTTGTCATCATTCCATCATGCCACTTTATCTAAAAGTTGTCACCTTTCAACATATCACTTCATTTAAAAGGTCATCACTTTTCACTTATCATTTTATTTAAAAAGTTACTACTTTTTATATGTTATTTCATCTAAAAGTTGTCATTTTCTGTGATGTCACTTTATCTAAAGTTACTACTTTTTATATGTCATTTTATCTAAAAATTATCACTTTTCGTTATTTTATTTTACATAAAAGTTATCACTTGTCATTGTACCACTTTATTTAAAAAGTTCATATATTTTTTCATGCCTCTTCGTGCTTATTTTGTTGGGGATATAAGCTATTATGCTCACGATTCAATTATTCGCGTAATATATTGAATACATTATTATTTGACAATTTATTTTAATATATGACAATAGTATTTTATTATCATATTGTTTAATTTATGTGATAAAGTTCTTAATTAAATTTATAGATTTTACATCAAGATGGAGATCTTGATAATGAAAATAAAATCTTTTATAATATAATTTAAAATGTTCTTAGTCATTGGATCATCAAAATGAGACATTAATGATCTGGTAAGACTAATATATATGTGATAGTCTCTATAAGATAAATATTAGTTGATCTCATTAATTAAATCGCATATATAGATGATGCATATGAAGATATGATCATTGAACCGACCCAATTGAGAATTTCTAATGATTAATATTATCTTAAACTATTAATAGAATATTCTCTTATTTTAACAATGTGTAAGAATTTTCTTAGACATGAGATTATCATAGTAATTGATAAGTCATTTATGATACTTTGATTATGGACACCTATGGCCATAGAACTGTAGTTGAAAAGATATTGAGTGTGATTAAATGCTTGTAGAATTAATGATTGGTCAATACAGAATCTGCCAACTTGGGTAATAAGTTTAAGTTTTATGTTGTTATTTATTATAATGACAAAATTAAGATCTTAGCATGGCAGTTGAATGAATGAATAAAAAAATTTCTTATATCATTCATTAGTCAATTATAATTTACATGAAATATAGTTGGTTACCTATTAGGATTTGACGGTTAAACCATATCATATGGTTAATCTGGAGCAATAATGACAGAATAAAGTATTACATATTTCTTTAGCTGGTTCTTGAGAGTAATTATACATTTTATACTATCAAGTCATTGACGAGTGTTACTAGATGTCAACCTTAATTAGTAAATTAGTTTGACCAATTTGCTACCAGTTTTGTGTTGAATTTATGAGGTCGCACACTAACGAGTGTTCTGATTTTTGTTAAATATATTAATTATTTGAAAATTAAAATAGAGAATTTAATTTAATTAAATAAATAAAATTTTTGGTCTAAATAGAATATTATTATATTCTTTAATAGCACCGAGAATATAATTAATATTCTAAACAAATTAAATTTTTCTATTTTTAAAATAAAAAATTAATATTTATATTTTAGTAATTATATTATTAGTGTAATAATATAATATGTGTTGCTATTATAATAATTGAGATTATTATAAAATTTAATTTGAAATTAAATTAGTTTATAAAATTTAATTTGAAATTAAATTAGTTTATAAAATTATTTTATTAAATAATAATAATTAAAAAGGATAAACATATATATATATATATATATGAGATATATATATAAATATTTAGGTGTTAAAAAAAAAAAAATGGATGAGACCAAATAAATTTGGACGTCCACAGGAAGAGTCCAAAAGGAACTCCTCCAGCCATGCCACCTATATATATATATATGATATATATATGTGTGGGGTTTTGAAAATAGAGAGAAAAGAATTAAAAAATCAGCAGCACACTAAAAGAAAGATTGTTGAATTCTTTCTTAAGATTTTGTTAGAAAATTTTAATATATTTATATTGTTAAATTTGTCCGTACATTTTATTAATCAAAGAGTTAGAATGGTAAATGTTGGTTTTGGTACAGATACGCATAAAATATTCGTATTTTTGAGCAATTTTAATTTAAGAATCAATTGTCATATATGTTTTAAATTTAATATTTGATATGCAATATAAATTTTAAGCACAAATAAATCAGATTGCATTGTTATTTTTATATTTCGTTGCGTGTTATGCACATATTACAATTTTTCATATTCTACATTTTTCATTATTATCTATTATTTCTCCGTTTGACTCTAAATTATGTCTTTAATCTTATTATATATTTATAAATAAATATAAATACTAAATTAATATATCAAACATAATAAATTAATTCAAGAGTATTTTCAAGCTATCACAGTAGTTAATTTAGATAGTAAAATAAAAAAGATCCTTGCATGGTGGCGGCTTTACCATATGAAAAATATTCGTAAAATAACTAACTTGATATTAAAATAAAAAATAATAATAAAGAAGATTAATCTTGTATTCCATTTAAAATTTTTTCATATAGAGTTTTTAAAAGTTAAAATGCAACATTTTTAGTTCATATATTGTGACTTATTCTTACAACGAGATTGTCTGATAGAAAATCTAAAAGAATTTTTTTTTTTTTAATCACGACTTTAGAATAATAAGAGGTAATTCAAATATAGAAGTTATAATTAAATTTTAATTTTAACAAATTAAATTATTTTTATAATTAAAAAATAAATAAAATAAGATAAGTTGATAAATGATTATTAATAAT